AGAGAGAGAGAGAGAGAGAGAGAGAGAGAGAGAGAGAGAGAGTAGAATAATTAGACACGCGATCTCCCACCACGGTGGAGTTCGGTATTTCGATACGACGACATCGATGCCGACCAATCGCCTCGTTAACGGACGATAACTGCCCCCTAGCCGTTTATCGGTCTCGTTCAATTAACGGTCTCTCCTTATCCGAGCCCCCCTTCCCCCCTCCCTACTTTTTTTCCACGTATCTCGGTAAATCGCACGCCCGGCAAAATGGCGGACTAATAACAACAACAACAACCGTCGATATATTTGCGTCTCTTCGAACGCATCCTTCATGGCCATTCTCCTTTTTCCTTCTCCTTCGTTTCGCGACACGATCATGAATAGAAGAAAAATGAAAATGTGCAATTTTAATAAGCCGCGACGTTCTGTGGAAAAGAAGAAGATATATATATATATGTAAGAATGAAATTTAGTTTAATCATTGGGCATTAACCTGTTGAAAAAAGTAATTAAAAGTTGATAATATCGAATTGCTCATTGAAACATTCGAATGACATTTATTCGTAATTCGTTTATTATTTCGTTTCGAAATAATAAATTATCTTTAATTTAATTAAGTTACTTCAACTATTAGAATATCGGCCGAGCATGCAAAATTTCTTTCGTTATATATATATATATATCACGATTGAATGATAATAATAAGCAGATAAGTAATTGAGGAATTGTACTCTATGCGAATTCTCGCTTTGCAAGGGGAATCAACGTAGTAGGATTCATAAGATCGGTACGAATTCCTCCTTTAAGATTAAATGCAATTGGACTGGAAATGTCAAACGTATATATACACCAACATCCCTCTCCACAAATCTCTCTCTCTCTCTCTCCCTATTATTAGTATTATTCGTTACGACGAATCTTGCCTCCTTGATCTTATCGGGAGTTTCAAAGAGCGTCGCGTCCGCCCGATCCTTGACGCGGACCACTAACCATTCACGTCCCGTGAACCGTTTACCTGCACTCCTCAACGCTCGAAACACGGATCGAACATTTTTTTTCCACGCGATTTCTTTCAACGTCAATTCGTCCCTCTGTCTACTTTCAATTTGGAAAAAAAAGGAGGAGAAATAGATAGATAGACGGATAGATTTTATCAACTAATTTGCTTTCCAGGTTTGCTTTCCGGGAAGAGGAGGAGCGAAGGAAGATGTCGAACGACGAGGAGAAGCCGTTCGCGGTGGAGAGGGCGAAAAGCGGGCGGGCCAAATGCAAGAAGTGCAAATGTCCGATAGAAAAGGACACGGTGAGGATCGCGAAATTGGTCGCGAATCCGTTCACGGATGGCAAGATGAAAGCGTGGCATCACTTGACCTGCCTGTTCGAGGTGTTTGCCAAACAGAGGGCCACTACCAAGAGGATAGACGATCCCGCGGAGGACGTGAGCGGGTGGGAAGATCTGAGCAAGGAGGACAAGGCGATCGTGCTTCGTATGATCGAAGAGTTCGAAAAGGATTCGAAAAGTAAGAATCTTCTTTCTCTCTCCCCTCCTCTCCCTTCCGTCGGTGATCTCGACGCCCGAAAGACGAGAGAGAGACTTTTTCGTTCTTCATCTTTCTTTCGAATTGAACGGTTGACTTACGAGTAAATACCGAAGGACCGGTCGATAAAGAAATTCCACGCCCGAGAGAGAGCCTTTCTCGTTTCATTTTTCTCTCCTCGAATTAAATAGTCAATGTAAGAATGTATACCGATTCGGTCGATAAAGAAATTCGAAAATATCTCTATCGTTTATCGCATTGCTATAGAAAACATGAACGAATTTTTTAATTCTATCGATTATTAATTTAAAAACGTACAACAATGTACATTGAAAATTTAATTCGAGAATATACAAATTGTATAATTTGTTTATCGAAATGTTTTTTTTTCCATTTTTTTTTTCTCCAGATCACACTCCTAAGGGAAAAGGGGTGGAGGCAAGAAAGCGCAAAAGTGAGATTGGCGCGGAATCCGATCCTTCTCCGAGCAAAAAAACGAAGAAGAAGGAGAAAGAGAAGGAGAAGAAGGAGAAGGAGAAGAAGGAGAAGGAAAAGGATTCGAGCGAGGAGGAAGGAACGGATAGCTCCTCGGCGACCAGGAGTCCGGAGAAAAGGACAACGAGAGACGATTCGTTCGAAGAATTTCGACGGGTTTGCAACGATGTGGCAAGAGTGGACGCGTACACCGAGAAAACGGCCGTCGTGAAAAGGATGTTCAGCAAAGGGTCCGAAGGTGGTGAGTTCAACTTCGATCGCTCAGTTAATATAATGAATCGAACGAAGATTACTTTTTCGTCAAATTAATAAGATTCGTTTTCCGGATTGTTTGAATTGATTCGATTTATTGGCATCCTCGATGTTTATTTTATTATGAAACAAGTCGACGATGATCGGTTTATGAATATTTCTCGATCATCCATTTTTCTATCTCGAACGAGCGAGTCGTGTATATGTTCGTGTGTGTGCGTATGTATATATGTATGTATATACTTACTCGACTGTTTGAAAGTCTCTCGGTTGGTATGTTTTTTCCTTTTCCCGATGTTTCGATTTTGTCCTCAGTCACGGGGGAAAAAAACTCGATTGAAAACGATTTATCGTCTCGTGATATCATCCAACGTTATCACTGATAATCTCGTCACTTTTCGTTGGTGATTCTTTTCCTTTTTCGAAGGAAAAATGAACGTTTTGTTGTTTTTTTATTATTATTTTTTTTTATTATTATTATCGCTGTTTTTTATTATTATTGTTGTCAATTGTTTCGCGAGAAGCGTGAAGGCTAGGTAGTTCACTACACATTCACCGTTTCGCGACTATTAGTCTCGAAGGTTGGTGCTCTGGTGTCTTATAAGCTTAGCTGTCCCCACCTAATCAAGTTCGGTTCGTAGACGCGGTGTCGAGCCCCTTCTCGTGCAGCCAGCTTGGCTCCAGACGTTCGCCCATTCTTTCCCTCTTTCTTCACGCGCCTCTTTCTTCCCTCCCCTGCTAGATTATCGCGCGCTAGACTCGCGTCTCCTCTCTCTTTCTCTCTTTTTTAATTCTCTCTCCTTCTCTCTCTCTCTCTCTTTCTCTATCCTCATTGTCAATCACGACAATGAGGAGACGCGTTCGATTTCGCGACCTTCCAATTAATCTTTTTTTTTCCCCCTCTTCTCTTTTATCAATCGTTTCGAGATTTTCACGGGGGGCTTGATCGCGATTCAATTCTCAATTACGACTATCTGTCGAGCAAAGTGACGTATATCAGTAAGGTATATCATTTACGATAACCTCTCTCTCTCGCTCGTTGTTTTTTTCTTTTTTTTTTTTTTTTTGAATAGGATGAAAAAATCTTCTCGAGAGGAGAGGAGTCGCGAGAAATTGGCGAGTTGGAATTAATCATTTGATTAGAGATTGAAAATTAAGAGGAGAGAGAAGAGGAATTTATTGGTGCCCGAGCAATTAACCGTTATCGATAAACGAGACCACAACCTCGCTTTTGATATTTCGAGAATCGACGAAATGAACGCGAAAAACGCGAATTCTTCTCTATCGAAATATCGTTTTTTTTTTTTTTACATCGCTTCTTTCCGCGGCCGTCGATCTAGTAACACGATTCCTCCTTTTCAATGGACGTAAATACACCGCGAGTTCTTTCATTCGAGTAAAATCCCATCGAGAGCAAGGATATTTAGCGCAAACGCGACGCCTTATCTCTTCTCCACTCGTTTCAGATATATTAATAAATTAACACGAGACGAATATCATTGTTCGGGAGAGAAATTTTTTCAAGGTTGAACTCTTGGATCGCGCTTAATTATTTGTTCCAAATAATCGTTTCTAAGCAGTGAAGAATATGGGAAAATAAAAATAGAAAGAAAGAAAGAAAGAAAGGCGTTTAAAAAAACTGCGGTGTCGCGCAATTGGGCTTGCCAAACTCGATACACAATGGTTGGAAATAATAGGAGTAGTAACAAAATTATTTTTTCTCGATTTTGAGCTTATGAGATTTAATTTTTACAAAATAATACTGTTTTTTGTGATAATTTATTGTTTAAAATATAACTAAATATAATACATAATAATCGATATATAAAAAAAATATACGAATGTACAAATATTTATGATTCTTAAGTAACCGCACAAAATATCTACGCGGCAGACGTAGCAAAAAAGTTGTGGCAGGCAATTAACTTAGGAAAGCGTTTCGAATTTCACAAACATACGATAAACTGGACCTTGAGAATTAGAAATGGTAATTTAAAGAAACGGATGTTGAGAAAAAATGCTTATTAAAAGAGAAGTAATGATTATTTGCTAGAGAATATCCTATCCTATAAATTATTCGATAGGGCCAGATATAGGCTTAAATAGTGATAATTTAACGAAATAACGATAAAAACGATAAAATTATAATATAAAAAAAGCACTATAGGAATACATACTGCATACTGACCGCTCAAACATTAAAAGAAATAAAAAAATTACCAACTAAAATTAGGAATATTATTATATATATATTATAAGATAAGTTAAAATTAATTCATAAATATCAACGGTTAGATTAAATTAATTTTAATATAAAAAAAAAAGTAGAAAGTTTCTACATTATTCCGTGGAACGATAAAAAATCATTGACAAATCGTTACATTGAGTGAATTTTTAATATGAAATAATCATTTAATTTTAAATTTAATTCTTAAAAAATTTACACAATATTTCTCAACTATTGAAATACGATCAATTATCGATTAGTTCTCTATATATTCGTTTAATCTATAAAAAAGAGGATTTAAAATTTTATCATTATAATTGTTATACATTGTAACATCGAAACAATTATATTTTATACATTTTGAAAGTAAATTTTTGTTAATATACGTTATTCGAACCACTGTGCGATGTATCGATGAAACACTTATTACGCGAAACAAATTCTTCAATATCTTCGGTATATAAATAGACGCAACAGGTTCTAATTCGGTATCTCTATCAAGAATCCGTGGATCGATTCGTTTTGACCAAGTGGAAATATCGGGCATCGGGAAAGGAAGAATACCGGCATTGTACCAAGCGATTTGCGCGTCTAAATGGCGCGGTAGCTCTATTTTCGACGATGATGAGGAGAATAGGAACGGAATTCCATCGAGCAGCAGCAGCAGCAGCAGCCCGTTTCGGTGTTCGAATCGGGGCATCGTTGCGTTCCGCCACGTGCCACCGGGTCTATCCATCCTGTGCATTCGCACGCACAGTTTGTAGTTTCTCAGAAGAGAAAGAGACCCAATTGTTGGAAATTGGAACACTTTCCTAGAAACGTGCCCGTTAATTCGATTTTCGATCGCGATATAATCCATAATATTATTTCGACTCGTGATCCATCGAACATTTCCTTCCAATTCGATCCCTTCGTTTTCATCGCTTAACCGTTATCGTGACCTAACCCACGATCAGTAAAATTTAAACTGTTGAAATTACGAATGAACTTACATAATAATAATCGCAAATACGAATAAATGTTATTCTAACATTTTATATAAAGTAATTATTTAAAGTAACTTTATCTTTAACTAGTTACTTTTTCAACGGGTTCATATCCACGATAATCACGTAGGAAAAGTAAACGAGCAGAAAATTGTTTCGAGAAACCTGAACGAACCTAAAAAAGAAAAAAATGTAAGATTATAAACTTTCTTATACTCTCTTCGGAATTATAGGGAGGGGAGGATGAAGAGAAAAGAAGGATATATATGTATATAAAGCCTTCTTTCGCGTAACCCGTGGAAAATCTCATTGAAGCGAAGCTGCGTTATCGTTCGTCCGCGGAAACTACACTTTGTACGATTGGTGGTATCTTGGTGGTGACCTCTCTCTATCGTTCTCTCGCGTTTCCTTCGGCCAATCGATCATTAATTACCGCGCTCTTCTTTAATCTAAACGTATGAAGTCACCTCCGCTTTTGCTGCGACCGCTTTTATTTGCCTCCTCTTCGTTCGTTCGTTCGTTCGTTTGGGACCCGCAATAATAATAATCGTACGATCGCTTCGAAACGAGAAGGAGAAAAAAAATTCGACCGACCGACCGTCGAATCGCGTAATTTTTTCGTCGTACTATTTCGACCTCGTTATCTCTCTTCTCTATTCCCTTCTCCTCTTCCTTTTCGAGATCGCGGTTTTCGGAGGGACGCGCGTGCGAGAGGTCAAACAATAATCATCTCCCTACGAGTTATCGATCGAGCTCGATCTTACGACACACTACGGGAACGCGCCCGACTTATCCTTAATCTCTTATCGAACGCAATTCGCGCGTGAAATTTTTCGCCGCCGTCTCCTTCGATAACGTTTTTCTCGATTTCCAATTTTTTCTTTTTCCTCTCTCTCTCTCTCTCTCTCTCTCTCTCTCTCTCTCTCTCTCT